TGCAATGAGTTTGAGAAAAATGTCACGAATAGTCTTATAACGCATAGTAGAGTATATTTCAACAGTTGGCTGAACTTACTCTACTGGCACAAGGAGGGTGAAACGGGATATTAATGCATAATCTGGCAACCCTGTCGCACCCTCACAAAATGGCCGCTGACAACCACACCGTGTTGTCATTGAATAGCATGGAATTAAACCTTCAGAGTATATTATTTGTGACTGGTACCAACAGTTGACAGATCCCACACATGTGTGACTCCTTGAAATGCAATAATCAGCTGTATTCAAATAATGTCTAATATAAATATAACCTAGAATGTGGCAAATTTGTAGTTTTTTTGCAGGTTTAAGGTTTGCTGGTAGCTTTAAGGCATATATTTGGGAATTTCTTAATCGCTGTGAATATAGTGTGGATGTTTGTTCAGTTCCTGAACAACGAAAAATATTCAACTTTATGGATGTATGGATATCAAAAAACCTGAATGGTTTTGTGGGAATATCAATCTAAGGTGCCTTAATGGTTCTGATGAACGGCAAGTAAATGAATGAATGTTTGGAAACGAGCAATATCTTTTGGTAGAGCCTGTCATCAAGTAGGTGCTTAATGGCTATCTGCAAGAGGTTTATAGGAAAAAACACCCAGTATCACATATCAATTGAAGAAAATAATATAAACATGAATAAAATATCAACAATAGTTATTAAAAAATGAATTTAATTAAAAAATCAAACATTTCTTAAAATTTTTAGTTATATGTAATTTCTTAATATTCAATAAGCTGGTGATGTTTCAATGACTAGTTATCATCTCATACTTTGACAGTATTTTGTTTTCAACATTTCAGAGCTATTGCTTGCCAAAATTTGTTGATTGGAACTTGAAGCTCATTCGCTGTATCTGACGGTCTGTTACCCTATAGGTGGAGAATAACGGACTGTTGTTGGTTAAATTGGCCCTTAAACTTGTATTCAAGCAGAGAGCTGAAGCTTTGTCAAAGTTCAAACGTGATCGTACAGCTGCCTCTTGGCAACATTATACATATTTCAGAAATCGTGCATTAACACTTGTGCGGAGAGGAAAAAGAGATTACTCACAAGCTGTTCAAAATCAAGATATACAAAAGTTTTATAAAACCTTAAAGACTTTCAAAGTGCAATCTCAGAAAGATACTACAATTCCCGTGAGCTCATCAGATCCGTATAAAATAAATTCATTTCAATTTTCGAGAATACTGATTTGAGTTGTGCTGATAAAATTGCATATTACCGAGCTAATAAAAATAACACAAAACCTAAATTTCAATTTAATAAAGTGGCTATTGACACCGTTGTTAAAATTGTACATAAAATAAAGTCAAATTCCAGTGGTTCAGATGGAATAACTTTGCATATGATACTACTATGTATGCCTGAAATTGATTTGTACTTAACATATATTAACTGCTGTTTAGAGAGGGGATATTTCCCCAATCAGTGGAAACGTGCTTTAGTTGTTCCGCTACCTCAGTGTTCTGATCCTACTAACTATGGTCAACTGAGGACGATCAGTCTACTGCCAATTTTTTCTAAAGTATTGGAACGCGTTGTTTACGAGCAGCTCTACGCGTACTTATATTCTAACAAAATTATTCCATCTAAACAATCTGGATTTCGACAAGGTCATAATACAGTTTCGGCACTCTGTGATTTAACAGACAATATAACAATGGCACTTGATAACCAAAAAACAGTAGCTCTCATACTTCTTGACTTGACCATTAATCACTCACTTCTTATGTCTAAATGCAGTTATTATGGATTTTCTGAAAAACCTCTTTCGTTTATTCAAACCTACCTTGAAAATCGGTATCAAAAAGTTCGTCTAGATCGACAGTACTCTACCGAACAAAAAATTTGTTCTGGTGGACCACAGGGATCAGTCTTAGGACCCCTATTGTTTTCATTATATATCTCAGATTTAAAAACAGAGGTAAAATCATGCAGCGTACAATTTTTTGCAGAAGTTACTCAAATTTTCTATTCATTTAGGAGTAATGACTTGGAAACAGCAAATAATAAAATTAATCAAGATCTTGCCCAAATTGAAAAGTTCAGCAGTAGTCATAATCTTCGTTTGAACCTTTTGAAGACAAATATGTTGGTATAAGCAAATAGAACAAAAAAGAATACTTTAAAAAAGGACAGATACATACATTTGAAAGGTAATAAATTAGTTCCTGTGGATCATTCCAAGAACCTAGATATTATAATGGATGATGACTTAAAATTTGTTGTACACCTAAACTATCTAATTTCTCAGTGCTACGCTATTCTTAGAGTTTTATTTGCAAATAAGGCTATATTACATAAATCTGCGAGAAAGCAATTGTGTGAATCTTTCTGGTTTTCAAAGATATCGTATTGCTTAGTGGTTTACTATTTACTATTAACTATTTAGATATTATAACAAGAAATCCTATTGAAAGTATTATCATATATCGAATGCCATTAATGAACTCAAATGGATGAAAATTGATAAAATGTATAAGTACCAGCTCCTAAATCTGACTCATAAGGTTCTTTAAAAACAACGTCATATTTAGTAAACAAATATATACGTAGAGGGAATATGCATGGCGTTAATATTAGATATGGAGAGACTCTTTCAATTCCACGCCACAACACATCTTTATTTCAGATTACATATATTTACAATGCGATCAAATCATATAGTTCTTTAGACCACAGTTTAAAAGAAACCAATCCATTACCCAAATTCAAGAAAAAAGTGAAAGAAGTTCTACTTGATCAGCAGCGAAATCTGTTGTAACCCATAAGTGCCTCAGATTTTCGTTATGCCTTTACTTAGATTATACTTTATTCTGTCGTTATTGTATTCAGGTATTAATTTTCAACAAATTCTGTTTTTCTTACATCTCGTATTGTTAAGGGGATTAGATGGTAGAATAGATATATTATTTAAATCTCGCCTCCTGTAATAATATTACAAATAAAAGACGTTAATTATTATTATTATGTTTCATATGTTCCCACGACTTTTTCAAATGCTTGGAATTCCTTTAGATTATTCCCTGGGAGGTGTGCAAATTGTTTATTTTTTCCTGGGCTTCTCGCTTCCGTATGGATACACAATCACTTTTTATGATTCGATAATGTCTTTGTATTCTTCAATCGGGCTGCATAATAGGAATTTTTCAGACTTTGAATATTATTTTCGTTCTTCGGTCTTTCCGATATGTGTAACTTCAGACACATATACTAAGTGACATATAAATCCGAACACCCAGTTTAAATGTTTTTATTTTAATAAAATTTTGAATAAGTTTTTAATGAAGTATAATAAGTAAATGATAAAAATTTCAAAATGATTGCACTGCTTTAAAGCCCTTTGACCTTTAATAATGTGTGGATGCACCCTGATGTGCTACGCATTCTCCAACGCGCCTAGGCATGCTTCTGATCAGGTGGTCAATGTCCTCCTGTGGTATCTCATTCCAGGCAACCACCAACTCCTCTCGAATTGCTTCTAGCGTCTGAGGAGGACGTTGCAAATTGAGCAATCTCTTACCCATCATATCCCACACGTGCTCAATTGGGGATAAGTCGGGAGATCTTGGTGGCCATGGTAACAATGTGACCTCATTATGTTGAAAGAAGTCTATTGTGACTCTTGCAACATGTGGTCCGGCATTATCTTGTTGGAAAGCTGGATCTGCCAGGGTGTCTTTCAACAAAAAACTGTGGATTCCTCCTTTTACCACGTCGCCTTCTAACCCTGGCATGACTATCGTGCATGCCTAAACAAAATCGAGACTCGTCACTAAAGACAATACTGTTCCATTCCTGATCCCAGAGTTGTCTGCACCACTCAAGGCGATTACGTCGGTGTTCTCGAGTTAAAGGGAGGACCCAGTGTGGCCGGTATGAAAACAAGCCAAAACTTCTCATTCGTCGGTAAACACTTCGCATGCCAATAGGTCTTCCGTGTTCTGCAAACCATTCATTTGCAATGGACCTGGTAGTGGAGAAACGGTCCCTTAAGGCCAATAATCTTAGGCGGCGATCTTCACGGTCTGTTGTTCTACGGCGGCGCCCAGTGCCCCTTGCTCTTTGCGGAAGGCCTTCTCGAAGCCATGCCTGACAACACCTAACCACAGTGTCTACACTTCTTTGCACTCTAACTGCAATTTCCCGAAAAGAAAGTCCAGCTTCCCGAAGTCCCTCTATACGGCCCCTATCAAACTCACTAAGTTGACGAAATCGTACGGGTCTCCGTACTCTAGGCATCGTAACCGATCGTAAAGGATGTCAAGAACCAAAATCCGCCAACGTTGATTCTTTACTGCGGCTGAAATATTCATTTTTCGAGCGTTAGTGAATTAAAAAAAAAGCAGTATAAAAACCGGAATGTCCAACTGATAAGGCTGAAAATTTTTTCACTTATTATTTACAGTAAGATAAATACATTCACCGACTTTTATTAAAATAAAACCATTTAAACTGGGTGTTCGGATTTATATGTCACTTAGTATATTTTCACATAATGCTACTGCAATGGCAAAAAATCCTTGTCGTTGAACCCAGTGGCGGTAAAGCTCCGGGCAATAAAAGAAAACAATAAAAATCGTTCAAAACTACATTTTTTACGCTTTAGAGGCTCCTGCTCATTTTCAGAAAGAAATTGGTATTGGGAGTTGTCCAATGCGTCCGTTAGACATATTTCACGTATCACATATTTTCTCGTACATTTGTTCTTAAAACTTGGAATGATAATTATTTTCAACGCACGCGTCTCTAGACAAACCTGCGTCGCGGTCTGGCTGATCGGTGATCGCTGTGACGGGCGAGTTCCGAGGTTAGTCATAGCAACGTTGTCACATGGTCGGCATTGTCGGTAAGGCGGGGAGAAATGTTGTACTTGATAAATATATGCCCTACATTTACCTGTAAAAGGAACATTGAAATTGTTTTTATTACTTATACTTTTGTATTATTAGATCTATCACCTTTTTGTTGAAAACTCCTTCCGAGTCAGTAGAAATACCATTTCTATGTAAGCATATGAAAGGTGATAGTTAGAATTCTTATAAGAATCTACTAAACTCTCATCAAAGCAAATGTAAATACGTTGGAAAGCATCTGAGCGATGTTGCTCAGCCAGTGCATGAACAAATTTAGACGGACTAGTCATTACGTTCTAAATTTGGTTTAAATGCCTTCTCTACATTCATAAACAGGAGTAAAACGCGTTCGTACCAGGCTTGTACGCTTTTAAAATAACTAAACCGCTGCTAGTTTAATTTAAGAATTGGGTAACTTTCCGATGTAAGAATAACCGCATTCTAATATTTAGCGATTCAGCGTTATCATCATCATTTCTTTATTGGTGCGTAATACACTTGAGTACTTACACAAGCCAAAGTAGAAGACAGAATACAAAAGTGTACGTTCACAAAACAGTATAATTTGTTGGAAATGACAAGATTAACAGAAAAACTGTAAAATGATATTATGAATTTAAAATAAGTACAAAACTATAGAACAAATTAACAAATAGAGTAAAAGTAAACAAGCACACCAACACCATTGAAAGAGATCCGAAAAGTTATTACTTCGATGTTATAAAAAACTTTCTTGATACGGTACGCTTCAATTCTATACTTAAATGAACCGGCGCCAGACATTCTGACATTATACAGGGTGTTTCAGTTTATTGTTGCATAACTTTAAGATTCGATAGAACTTTTAAAATTAATGCATAAAGTCTATATAAACATGGGTCGAAGAATGCGTGCCTTCCGAAATACATGGTGTTTAAATTTACTTTCTAAAATAGTTTTTTTTTTAAATATTTCGAACAATATTTGATGTATAACAGTGAAAATTGGTATACAAGGGTTTTTTGGTACGACAAAACGAACCATGGGCATAGTTTTACTGTAGCCGTTAGAGGGCGCTCTCTACTGTACCTGTAGTGTATTAAAATAACCAAAAATTTGCAATTTTTTAATTTTGAATAAAAAAACTGATTCTTCGCACTTTTCAACATAAAAAAGCTCTTCTGTGAGTTTTCGTTATAGTTAGCCGTTTTTGAGATATTTCGATTTTTAAGGTTCGATGCATTTTTAATAATTTATGGGAAAATAATATTTTTTTTTACATTTTCGATTTGGGCATTACAAGTAATTAAGATGATCGTTTATATTGTGTTTTTAAACACAGCAATAATTCCTAACTCCAACTAAACACAAAAAAAACAGAATATTAATTTGTTTAATTTTCCAATATTATTTTTAACAAATTAAATTAATTATTTACAACTAAAATGCTATTGGATAGTTAGGAGAAACATACAAAATCTAAAGTAGTTGCTCGAAATGTAAACCCAATTGTTCAATACATAATTCACATCTACGAATGATCGAACGTGGTATAGCATTGTTCAAATAAGGCCTTATTTCATCTCATGCATTCCTGATTCTGTCTATTAGCATATCTCTTGTGGTTACGAAGGTCTGTTACACTTTTTCTTTTAGAAATCCCCACTCAAAAAAATCTAATGGATTTAGGTCAGGGGATCGTGGAGGCCAGGCGACTGGTCCTCCACGGCCGATCCATCTTTCTGAATAATTTTCTTCCAGCCAGTTTCTAACTATTCTCGCATAATGAGCTGGACAACCATCAAGCTGGAACCAGGCCAATCCTCTTAAATCTAACATAACATCATCCCACATATTTGCATGTTCAGCCTTTAAAAATTCCAAGAAGGTCTCAGCATTTAACCTTGCAGGCAAAAGGTAGGGTCCAAATAGTCGATTACCGTAGATACCAATCCACACGTTCACACTAAATTCATGCTGAAAATTTCTTTCCCGAACTGCATGCGGATTTTCATGCGACCAAATATGTTGATTATGAAAATTTACCACTCCACGTCTAGTGAAGCATGACTCATCGGTCCATAAAACGTTACTTAAAAACTCCCTATTATTATCAATTCTATCAAGAATCCACTGACAAAATGTGATTCTTCGTTCTCCGTCCCCTGGCTGTAGTCCTTGCACAGGTTGCAAATGGTAAGGACTAATTGACGTTTAAACTTATTCTGCTTTCAATTTCAGAAATATTTGCAGGCACAGCCTACTTCTAAAAATTATCGTGGTAATATAAATAATTAAAAATGCATCGAACCTTAAAAATCGAAATATCTCAAAAACGGCTAACTATAACGAAAATTCACAAGAGAGCTTTTTTATGTTGAAAAGAATCAGTTTTTTTATTCAAAAAGCAAAAAATTGCACTAAGAAAATTTTTTCGGTCATTTTAATGCACTTCAGGTACAGTAGAGAGCGCCCTCTAGCGGCTACAGTAAAACTATGCCCGTGGTTCGTTTTGTCGTACCAAAAAACCCTTGAATACCAATGTTCACTGTTATGCATCAAATATTGTTCGAAATATTTAAAAAAAAAACTATTTTAGAAAGTAAATTTAAACACCCTGTATTTCGGAAGCCACGCATTTTTCGACCCATGTTTATATAGACTTTATGCATTAATTTTAAAAGTTCTATCGAATCTCAAAGATATGCAACAATAAACTGAAACACCCTGTTGAAGTGGATTCCATAGTATGTTAGTTTCGAATTTTTTGTAGACGATGTTTAGGAATATCTAAATTATTGCATGATACGTGTATAGTAACAATGTACATCACTGTGCGTTTTATATAGACCCGAATTGTGTACATAACATAAGCAGATACATACTAATATATGGAGATGGAAGAGAAAGGATCCTCAGGTCGATGCCTGCCTAAAGGGCTGCATATAATTTAGACCTGCAATGAATCTGATGCAGCGCCTCTGTAGTGCAAATTTTTTAGGCATATGGACACTGCGATCCCAGTTCAAAAGTGCATATGACATTCTTGAGCGGAAATATCTATAATAGTGTAGATAAGTAATCTCTCAGGGTGTTTCAGTTTATTATTGCATAACTTTAAGATTCGATAGAACTTTTAAAATTAATGCATAAAGTCTATATAAACATGGGTCGAAAAATGCGTGGCTTCCGAAATACAGGGTGTTTAAATTTACTTTCTATAATAGTTTTTTTAAAATATTTCGAACAATATTTGATGTATAACAGTGAAAATTGGTATACAAGGGTTTTTTAGTACGACAAAACGAACCATGGGCATAGTTTCACTGTAGCCGCTAGAGGGCGCTCTCTACCGTACCTGTAGTGTATTAAAATGACCGAAAAATTTTTCTTAGTGCAATTTTTTGCTTTTTGAATAAAAAAACTGATTCTTCGCACTTTTCAACATACAAAAGCTCTCTTGTGAATTTTCGTTATAGTTAGAAGTTTTTGAGATATTTCGATTTTCAAGGTTCGATGCATTTTTATTTATGATAAAATAACGTTAAAAAGTCAGTATCTCGATAATTTTTAGAAGTAGGCTGTGCCTGCAAATATTTTTGAAATTGAAAGCAGAATAAGGTTAAACGTCAATTAGTTGACAGTTAGTTTTGTTGTCTGTAGAAACCTGAAACGTTTTTTTGCAATTGTGAATGCACGAAATTTAGTTTCTTTTACCTGTTTTTTTTTTGTAAGTTTTATAAAAATGCCATTTTTTTTCTCCAATCAAGAGTTAGCGGATATTCATTTTGTGTATGGCTTTGTAAATGGAAACGCAGCAGAAGCAGCCAGAGAATACGCACGAAGATTTCCAAACAGACGACATCCAACTCGCTCAGTATTGTGCATCGCCAAATAATTGAAAATGGTTTTGGAAATCTCCAAAGGGATCAAAACATAAATGTTCGTCAGTGCAGATTTACCCGTATGATTCTGCGTGAGTTTGATAGAGATCCGACCACAAGTGTTAGGAGAGTTTCTGGTGCCTTGGGAATTTCATTAAGTACTTATACAAAATTTTATTAAAATAAAACCATTTAAACTGGGTGTTCGGATTTATGTGTCACTTAGTATAAAAGCTACAGATAGAAATTATAAAACAACAAAATATTTGTAAGAGTACAGAAGCATTTAGTAATACATTTATAAAAGGAATGAGGCATTGCTTTTTTTTGATAATTCCAAAACGGCTTTAAATTTGTTTCGTTTTAAAACGGTTAAGAGTTGAAATCCACATTCTTGCTTCAATTTAATTGACTTCCCAACTAGGAAAGATATTTTATAATTTTCAACTGTCCGACTTCGGTTAAATTAAGGCAAGAATGTGGATTTCAATGCTTAACCCCGTTGAAAAATTAACGAAATTTAAAGACGTCCCGGAATTATCCGGAAACATGGATGCCTTATTCGTTTTATAAATATATTAATAAGTTTATTATTATTTATTTTGTTATACACGGTCTAAACTTTATGATAGTCATTATTTAAATGGGTGATACAGGAGGTTAAAAGAAGCAATAAGTTTCATATAACATGGGGGTCAACATGAAGATGGAGTTTGTTATTTTTGGCTCTTAGGTATTATTTCATTATTTGATAATGTACTCGTAAAATGCAAACAGTTAAAAAAAGGGACTTACCACTAACAGTCTCAGCGCTTCACGTGGTGTGTGAATGTTTATTGAACGTATTAAAAGAATCCACTCATAAATAGGGAACACAATTTCGATACATACATTGTTTTTCTTTTTAAAACCCACACTGCACTTTTTTGTATTTAAAGAAGGTGTTCAAAATGTCGTCCTCCACTTGCCACACAAGCTTCGTTACGACGAACCCAGTTTCTTCTTACTCTAGGTCATCGAAGTTGTCCTTTTATTATTTCAGCCGCATTAAATTTTTTTTCGCAAGGTTGTGCTTCAGTTGTTATTGGACCAGCTCCATAAACCATCCCTTTAAGTTCTCCCCAATACCAGAAATCCATCGGATTGAGGTCAGGAGATCTTGCTGGCCATTTTAGAGGATCAGGAGCATTTCGACCGACCCAGCGATTTGGATAATGTTCATTCAAATACTGAATGACGCCTCTAAAATGTGTGGTGGTGCCCCGTCATGAAGAAAGCACAAATTCTGTCTCCGTTGTAATGGC